AGCACGCTTTGGTCGAACACCCTTAAGCCGAGCACTCTTGCAGATCAAATACATCGCATATCAAATCGCATGATCCGACTCCGAGGCCGAGCACGCTTCGGTCGAACACGCTTAAGCCGAGCACTCTCGCGGATCAAATACATCGCGTATCAAATCGCATGATCCGACTCCGAGGCCGAGCGCGCTTCGGCCGAACACTCTCAAGACGAGCACTCTCGCGGATCAAATACACTTCGCGTACAAATTGCATGATCCGACTCCGAGGCCGAGCACGCTTCGGCCGAACACTCTCAAGCCGAGCACTCTCGCGTGCTCCAACACACTTCGCGCATCAAATCGCGTGACCCAACATTCCGGGGCCGACCACGCTTAGGCCGAACACGCTCAAGCCGAGCACTCTCGCGGATTAAATACACTGCGTATCAAATCGCGTGATCCGACTCCGAGGCCGAGCACGCTTCGGCCAAACACGCTCAAGCCGAGCACTCTCGCGGATCAAGTACACTTCGCGTATCAAATCGAATGATCTGACTCCGAAGCCGAACACGCTCAAGCCGAGCATTCTCGCGGATTAAATACACCGCGTATCAAATTGCGTGATCCGACTCCGAGGCCAAGCACGCTTCGGCGAACACGCTCAAGCCGAGCACTCTCGTGGATCAAGTACACTTCGCGTATCAAATCGAATGATCTGCCTCCGAGGCCGAGCACGCTTCGGCCGAACACTCTCAAGCCGAGCACTCTCGTGGATCAAGTACGCGTCGCGTATCAAATCGAATGATCTGCCTCCGAGGCCGAGCACGCTTCGGCCGAACACTCTCAAGCCGAGCACTCTCGTGGATCAAGTACGCGTCGCGTATCAAATCGAATGATCTGCCTCCGAGGCCGAGCACGCTTCGGCCGAACACTCTCAAGCCGAGCACTCTCGCGGATCAAATACACTTCGCATATCAAAGCGCATGATCCGACTCCGAGGCCGAGCACACTTCGGCCGAACACCCTTAAGTCGAGCACTCTCGCGGATCAAATACATCGCATATCAAATCGCATGGAACATGCACACTACTACTAGCGATCGGAAGCAACATCTGCCATTCCACGCCGAGAACCACAACCCTATATAATTAAAACGTCTTTGTCTTTCCCATCCTCGACGCTGCGGGGGTTGTATACCGTATGGTGGCTGACTAGGCCGAATACCCGAGTTCATGGCCGACTAGGCCGAATACCCGAGTTCGTGGCTGACTAGGCCGAATACCCGAGTCCGTGGACGACCAGGTTGAATACCCGAGCCCACCGACCACTCACAATCTGAACGGAACGTGTCGGTGTGCTCGGCCAAGTCACGGATTTACGCCAGGATAATTATGGAGAGGTTAATTTATGTAATGCACCGGATTAGCCCCCTAATTTCCCGGGGCCCAGTCCTTAATCGGGCCCAATAAGAATCACTATAAATAGGACCCCAGCGAGGTACGTAACTAACTTTCAACTACCGCATTTATTACGCCGAGCACTTACTTAAGCGTTGGAGTGTCTTTGCAGGCACACCCCCCTCACATCGGACTACCCGGATAGGAACGAGAAGACCGAGACTCAGAATCAGACCCGCTACAACAAAGATAAGTGAAGTGTGTATCCTAACACAGAAACAATTTATTTTACTAGTATGATCAAATTAAGACATGTGATAAACAACTTATTCAAGCTTATAACTTATTAACTTATAAATTGCAGCATATTATTTTCTTTCATTTTATTCTTAATATATTACTTTAATCATTATTCTCTTTTTACTATTTTTTAGGATAATTTTTATATAATAATGTTTTTTCAATTATTTTAATAATGCTTATTTCTTTTAGTTTTTTATATATATATTTTTTGTATCCCTAATTATCAATAGCCTCTAGGGACATCGATGCAGAGGTAACTCCCTTATTTGAACCTATGGAAGGAGAAGTTTAACCGGAAATTGCCAACAAGTAATGATTATTGACTATTCGTACTTTCTGTCAAAAGCAATTAATTGATGGATAGTTTCCATGAAAGATTGGTCAAACAAGTTTATGATTGAATTTGAGTTAGTGCAATGGCTAGAAGTGAAAAAATTATAATTCTAAGGATAATTATGTAATTTTGAAAATTTTAAACTAAAATATTAAGTAAAATATCAAAATACTTTTAATTAAACATTGAGTTCAAAATAATAATAATTTTTTTTTTAACTTGAGATAGTATATTTGATAACTCTTTTAGTGCATTAGAATAAATTAACAGCATAACTGAAATTCAAGAAAAATAACATTAAACTTGATTTATGGAGACAAATCGGAATCAAAGGATTTTTCTTAAGTAAGAATAAGATAGGACACATGAATTGCAATTTTAACAAAAGATTAAAAGTATACGACAAGGAAGTAAAAATGAGAGAAGAGGTTATATCATAAGTTTTTTTTTTTTTTTTTAAAGCATGATATTGGTTTGTGAAAAGTAACTAATTTTCATTGAGAATTATGAGTGTATATAAGAGAAATATTTTTCTCTCAAGATAATTTATTATATATTTAAGGTTAAGATTCGAATCTTAGACAACTTAATTAAAGAATACAAATAATTCTTACTTGTGTCAATCAATATTAGTCCATAAGTTTTCAAATTTAAATTGCAGGATCAATAATACAAAATGATAGAGAAATTAATAACAATATCGCACATAAAATACAAATAATATGTCTAAAATGAAGAAAGACATTAGAAGTTATTTGTGATTGTAAAACACATGTTCTATTAAACTCAAGAATAAACTTAATTATATCGTTATATCATATGTTAGACTTTAAAGGAATAACGAGAGATAAAAATGAGAATATTATAAATGATAAGGATAAAAAGATTATATGCTCATACAAAAAAGGACATGATATGAATTTATCATATATATATATATATATATATATATATATA